TTAAGGCTGAAGAGTTTCTCCAGTGTTTCCACCGAAAGGTCTCTAGAAGAACTTGCACCTTTCCTTCTTTGTATGTAAGAGAACCGTTAATTCTCGCTTCTCTCAAGACTCTGTCTCATGTTTTGGGGTATAAGAATTGTACTAGGAATTTTAAATTGAGTTGGCGCCATTTGTTTTCAAGGGCCGAAATCCGTGCATTGTTTTGCTTTTCTGAAGATTGTAGGGTTTTCATATCCTCCTGCATAGTGAAAGTTAGTTTGGCATTTTCCTCCGCTATTTTAGTTGTTACCGACAAGTCTTTAATTAATTCATTAAGCTGTACCTGAAGTGGTTGAAGCAGTTCCGAGACTAGCGAAGAAAAGGACCTCAGTAGGTCTGTTTTCAGGTCGAGTAGGTCTTTTCTAGTAAGTGGCATGGTTTCATCTTTGGCCTTTGGATCTGGTATCGAGCTTCCGGACGTCATATTGTTGTCCCAGTCTACGTTTAGGCCCAAAGTTTTAGCCGTGGCTTCTCTCGTAAATTTTTTTGTAACTGTTGTTTTTTGCTGTTGGCTTTTAGTTGTTTTACCTTTATATAAGTTCTTCTCATACCTTTGTAGTCGTTTCATGAGAGGCAGTTCGATTTAAAGTAGGTTTTAGGTGGGTAGCTCCGGGAGCTCTCGTTTCTTGCATCCGCTCACATCAGCGGTGCTCCGCCCTCTTCCACTCTAATACTTCATACAAACAATCCAACACAGAAATAAGCCCATCTCGAAAAGATTCAAATGCAAAGTCCCCTGTAATTATTCTGATACCCAAACGAGGATAATCCATTATTACAGAGTTCATTAAACTCCAAACTTCTCCAAAAGGATCCTCCTTTCACCTCCTGGGTCATGATGTGTCTCTCATGTGTGTTCAAATTGGATATAGTGTTCTTACTAGATTATTCCACTAACTCTCAGAAACAGAAAAAATCTATAAACAACTGCAGGTAGCTAGGCGTAACTTGGAACAGATTGAAACTGCGAAAATCAGAAAACAAATGATTTTCACAAAACAGAAATATTGCTTTAGGACCCCAAGATTTTTAAACCTACTCTCAAAGAAAGTTAGAGCACAAACACTCTCTAACAGGATCCCTTCTATTAAATCGCCACAAGGCAAGGTTCATACCCAGACCAAACATATAGTTGAGATCTTTGAGCAATACTATACAAAGTTATACTCCTCCTCGGCACCTACAGCAGCCGAAATTAACCATTTCCTAACAGAACAAGGCAACCTCCCACTTCTTAGTGATAAACACAGGACATTTCTATAAGAGCCCTTCACAGAAAAAGAAATACTAGAAACAATTGGAAATCTTAAAAACTCCAAAGCCTGATGGGTTCCCTGATGGACCTGATGGGTTCCCCCCTGACTTCTACAAAAAATTCAAAAAACAATTAGCGAAACCACTGACTGAGGCATGCAATGATATCATGCAAAACAAGAGACTGCCCCCATCGTGGAGCGAGGCAAACACAGTCGTTATTCATAAGAAAGGGAGAGATCCCTTGCACCCGACATCATACAGGCCGATATCGCTTTTAAATCAAGATCTCAAAATCCTAACGGTAACGGTGGCCAAGAGGCTTGGCACTCTCATCACAGACTACATAGATCAGGACCAGGTGGGGTTCATCCCAGGCAGGGACATTGCGGACAATACCATAAAAACTTTGTCCCTTTTCAATCATTGCCATAAAAATCAAATGAAAGCCATATTCCTTTCATTAGACATTGAAAAGGCCTTTGATTCCGTGGAATTCAATTACCTTTTCTCAGTTCTGGAAAACATGGGCTTTGGCCACAAGTTCATCAACATGATACGAACACTATATTTCAATCCAACAACCAAAATCAAAATAAATGGCACGATCTCAAATAGGATTCCACTGCTTAGAGGCACACGTCAGGGATGCCCCCTGTCCCCTCTGCTGTTTGCTCTCGCCATAGAGCCGCTGGCCAATGCAATTAGGAAACATCCCAACATATCAGGCATCAAACTACAGTCTAAAGAGCACAAATTGTCCCTATTTGCGGATGACATGCTCCTTTATGTAACTCAGCCCACAAATACCCTCCCCAACCTTCATGAACTGTTAGTGGAATTTGGTAAGATTTCAGGATTAAAAGTCAACGATAATAAGTCTCAAATATTGCCCTCCAACCTATCAGAATCAGAGAAATCTTGGATATGCACAGAGTATAAGTTCCAATGGGTATCCAAAGCCTTAACATATTTAGGTATACAAATCCCCCTAGCTCAGGAGGATCTGATAACTCTAAACCACCACGAAATGTTCACAGAATTACTCCATACGATACATAAGTGGAATAAACTTAACATAAACTGGATAGAGCGATTTAACTTGGTAAAATTGTTTATCCTACCGAAGTTCATATTTTTATTTCGAACAATCCCACAAATTATCCCACGAACTATATGTAAAAAATGGCAAAACACCCTGTCCCAATTTTTGTGGAACAGGAAAAAACCCAGAATTAGTTTGAACGTTCTTAAAAGGCCAAGAGCATTGGGTGGCTTCGCATTTCCAGATTTAGTACTCTATAACAGGGCGATCTTATTAGCAATCACACTCAAAATGTTCAGAACCACTACAAAACCGGATTGGGTAGGCATTTGGGATGACATACTATACCCCCAATCTCTTGCTGATATAGCATGGGCGAACAACACCCTTCCCCAAGCATTGAGACATAAATTGGTGACTGTATACCCGGCATTATTAAGTTGGAAAACCCACACTCGACCTCTCCTGCCCAAACTATCTAGATACACCTCATTTCACAACCAAGATTGGTTCCAACCTGGCAAGGATCACAGCTTACTAGCTCAATGGAAAAGCAAGAGTATAACACGATTACTAGACATAGCCAACAAACAAGGAATAAAAAGCAAAGCAGTACTAGAACGAAATTTGGGCCACAACATCCCTTGGTTTCTCTACTTACAAATGAGTCATCTACTTACCTCTATCAACATCACTCAAATAATGAAACAACCACTGACAAAACTAGAAGGCTTAATCCGAGATTCAGGGGAAACAAGCAAAGGTCTGATTTCCAAATTATACTCACTACTAAAACAGGAATCTTGCACATCTAGCCTAAGATACCAAACTGCTTGGCAGAAAGACTGCTCACAAAACCTTACTGAAGACTTGTGGACCATATTTTGGAGGTCTAATAGCTTCTCAACCTCTTCCATAGCAATACGATGGCAAAACTTTAGAATCATGACGAGGTGGTATACCACTCCTAAGAAAATCTCACACATACTTTCCACAGCTTCTCCAAATTGCTGGAAAGGTTGTGATCAGGTGGGGGATTATGCCCACTGTTGGTGGGGCTGCAGTAAAATTAAAATGTTCTGGGACGAAATATTAGGGACCATAGCGGACATCACACAGGTCAAAATACCCTGCACACCGGAAATCCTCTTCTTAAATAGCTGGCCAAAGGACCTTGCAGGGAGGTTTCACAAAGACAACATTGACGCTATGCTAGACGCGGCTAAAACAACGATAGCCACCTCTTGGAAAGACCCCAAAAAACCGACCATCGAGGTCTGGTACAGTAAACTCTGGAATCAATACCTAATGGACGCGGTTACGGTAAAAATAGACACAACGAACCAAAACACAAGACAAGAGTGGTTTGTTGGGAAGTGGTACCCGATCATGCAGTTCCTCTCTAAGCAACAGTACATCTCCTCTGAGTGGTCCCAATTTGCAGAGTGGATTTGATTTACTTTAATTTCACCATTTGCAGTCTATTTCTATCTGCACATTATTTGTTTATTTATTTATTTTTATTTCTTTTCTTTTCGTGACTGAAAGGAATACATACAGGTTGTATAAATTTCATACCCTATATTTTGAAAACTGCTTTACCTATTGAATGTTGTTATGCATATGTTATGAAATGCCGACTGTTTTCATTCTACAAAAAGTTTACAGCGGACTGAATGTAGGTTACTCGAAAGGTTGCGTAACAATTGTTTACCTATGTTACAAAGTTTATGGAGACATGACTATTTGATGCAAAATGTTATGTTACTATGATTTCAATGTTAACTGAAAAATAACTAAAAAAAATTAAATTAAAAAAAAAGTTGAACTTGATTGATCCAATCTGCAATCCGAACTGTACTGGCTGCTTAGTGTTATAGTTTAATATTAGGTACTGCTAAGCCTCCTCTTTTATCTAATCCTGTAATACGTTAAATCTAATTCTTAGTTTTTCCACTCCGTATATATTTCTTTCTTTCTGCCAGTCCATCAAAGCCTTTGTATATTGATCTGTATCAACTGATACAGAAAATTTATTTTGGCAATCCATTGATTTTTAATCCAGAGACTGTTCCAAGCCACAATGATTTTGGTTTGTACCTCTGTCCAAACGCACGTGGGTTTGATTGAGGCTTTCCCTCCATTACTGAAGCTATTCAGTTTTACCACTTGGACTCTGAAGCCTGGAAGGGCAAGGCATGCTCTTTGCCTCTCTGGTGGGCTGCCGTATTCGTCCGTAGAAGCAGAGCAGAATTCAAGTCCAGTAGCTCCTTCACGACTACCCGAAAGAGGGGTTGCCAAAAAGGGACATATGGGGTCAGGATGTAGAGGTGCCATAAGGTCTGTGGGATCTTCGTTCTCATTTCTTGCCTGACCAAATGAGCTTCTTCCCCGGGAAATTTCCTTGGTCTTTCACATGCTACCCCTCCACCTTCCTATTTCCTTTCGGAAGTCCTTTCTCCTTATTAGGGTGGTGAGAATGGAGCTAGGTTCACTTGGAAACAAACAGGGGCCAGGGGTCTTCGTTCACCCTGCCAGGCCCTGGCTCTGAGCATTTAAAAGGTTTCTCCCCTGTGTGGGTTCTTTGATGCCTTTGAAGACTGCCACTATGACTGAATCTCTTTCCACAGTCTGAGCATTCAAAAGGTTTCTCCCCTGTGTGGGTTCTTCGGTGCACTTGAAGATGGCCACTCCGACTGAATCTCTTTCCACAGTCTGAGCATTCAAAAGGTTTCTCCGCTGTGTGGGTTCTTCGGTGCACTTGAAGATTGCCACTAGTACTAAATCTCTTTCCACACTCTGAGCATTCAAAAGGTTTCTCCCCTGTGTGGGTTCTTTGATGCTTTTGAAGATTGCCACTTGTATTGAAGCTCTTTCCACACTCTGAGCATTCAAAAGGTTTCTCCCCTGTGTGGGTTCTTCGGTGCACTTGAAGATTGCCACTCGTACTAAATCTCTTTCCACACTCTGAGCATGCAAAAGGTTTCTCCCCCGTGTGGGTTCTTTGATGCAGTTGAAGATTGCCACTCTGACTGAATCTCTTTCCACACTCTGAGCATTCAAAAGGTTTCTCCCCTGTGTGGGTTCTTTGATGCTGTCGAAGTCTGCCAGTCTGACTAAATCTCTTCCCACACTCTGAGCATTCAAAAGTTCTCTCTTCTGTGTGGGTTCTTTGGTGCTTTTGAAGATTGCCCCTTATATTGAAGCTCTTTCCACACTCTGAGCATTCAAAAGGTTTCTCCCCGGTGTGGGTTCTTTGATGCTTTTGAAGACTGTGACTTCGACTAAATCTCTTTGCACACACTGAGCATTCAAAAGTTCTCTCTTCTGTGTGGGTTCTTTGGTGCACTTGAAGACTACCACTCTGACTGAATCTCTTTCCACACTCTGAGCATTCAAAAGGTTTCTCCCCTGTGTGGGTTCTTTGATGCTTTTGAAGATTGCCACTTGTATTGAAGCTCCTTCTACACTCTGAGCATTCAAAAGACTTCTCCGTGTGGGTTCTTTGGTGCTTTTGAAGGTTGCCACTTGTATTGAAGCTCTTTCCACACTCTGAGCATTCAAAAGGTTTCTCCCCTGTGTGGGTTCTTCGGTGCACTTGAAGATTGCCACTCGTACTAAATCTCTTTCCACACTCTGAGCATGCAAAAGGTTTCTCCCCCGTGTGGGTTCTTTGATGCAGTTGAAGATTGCCACTCTGACTGAATCTCTTTCCACACTCTGAGCATTCAAAAGGTTTCTCCCCTGTGTGGGTTCTTTGATGCTGTCGAAGTCTGCCAGTCTGACTAAATCTCTTCCCACACTCTGAGCATTCAAAAGGTTTCTCCCCTGTGTGGGTTCTTCGGTGCACTTGAAGACTTCCATGTATACTGAATCTCTTTCCACACTCTGAGCATTCAAAAGGTTTCTCCCCTGTGTGGGTTCTTCGGTGCACTTGAAGATAGCCACTCCGACTGAATCTCTTTCCACACACTGAGCATACAAAAGGTTTCTCCCCTGTGTGGGTTCTTTGATGCTTTTTAAAACTGTCACTCCGACTAAATCTCTTCCCATACTCTGAGCATTCCAAAAGCTTCTGTACTATGTGTATTTTCTGGTGCACGTGAAGCTGTGGTCTGTATCTGAAGTACTTTCCACAGTAACAGCATTTACACGCCTTCCTTATAATGTGTTTTGGAAAACATACATTACCCTTCCTTCCACTTGAGAAAGTCATTCCACTCTTGGAGCAGATAAATAGCTTCACTCCTGAATGAATCCATTGGGGAAGGTTGCAGACTGGGATTTCATAGCAGCCCCCTTCTTGGCAAGGAATGGATTGAACCCGCCTCTTCACCGTACGGATTCTTTCCTGCCTCTCTGGTCCATCTGTATTTTCAACGTCTCCTGGTGGAATAAAGGGGGAGGTCCAATCACCACTCACATAAGGAGCCAAGCTACCAATCAGGAACTCCTGATTAACGAGTGTCTATTTTATCTCCTAAGCCACTGGTCACAACATTTCCCTGGCCAGCCCTCCAGTAGAGCTTTTTCTGTATTGTGACCATCCCTCCCCTGTGCAAAACTCCTCGAATCTACTTTAAGAGAAAAAGCGGCAAAGATCTGGTGCTCTGTCTTTCCCATTTACCTAGTCATGCAGGGCTTTTGATGATGAAATACAAAAAATGATTGTAACTTCTAGTCCTGAGATTCTACAGAGTTTCCGTCCAGGTGTGATGGGGCTGAAGAGGAGCTGGTCTTCAGACTCCAATAACATGTGTCTGCTAGGGCAGGGGAGAAGTCAGGACCTAACCAGTTCTAAGAGAACTCCCATAGGAATACCAGCTATTGGGGGAGAGAGGGAGGGGAGGCCTGGAGATATTCAACTGACCACGGTAGGAAAAGGCTGATGGGCGTCTGACTCGTCCAGCTAAGCTTTTCTTAAGTGAATACCTCACCTTTCCCTGGAATGTCCGGTATTTAAGGACAGGACAGCCCCTAAAGGGACTAAAAGAGCCACAACTGAGCTCAGACCCAGGAAGAATTCCCAAGATCGCAGGCCCCAAAGGGCTTCCCTCCTTACCCAGAGGGCTTTATCATTCTACCCAACCAAGAGCTGCTACAGAGTGAAGCAGAAAACCACCATGGCTATTCTTTGCCCTTTCCCTTGACAGAAAGACGAAGCAGACTCACTCGCGGCCAGTTCACTCGGGAAGGAACTATTCTGTTGAGATCCTCTTGAGAAACTCTCCAGCCCTTCGTCCGTCTCCACTGCAGTCTCTCGCACATCCGTGCCTTCTTTGGGAGAGAGAGAGAGAGAAAAGTGGAGGAAGAGTGACCCAAGGCCTTTGTCTGTCTCCACCTCAGGCCGTGACACCCACCCTGCGTCTCACGCTGGCCACAGCAGTAGCTGCAGTGGCCCCTGGACCAGCCACGTCTGTTGGTTGCTTTCACCGCCACCTCAACTCCTGGACTCATCCAGAGGGGGTGAGTACAAGGCCAAGGCATATAATGACATGCTGCTCTTCAATACTCTGATTCACACAACATCACAATGGCAGCAATTCACACCTTTGGCACCTAAGGAAGATCCTTACCCAGAGAGGCCACACTCCTATAGTTCTCCAGCATGACTTCCCAGTAGAGTGCTCTTTGGTCTGGATCCAGCAGGGCCCACTCGGCCACGGTGAAATACACGGCCACCTCCTCAAAGGAAGCTGGAAACTAAAAAAGAAAAAGCAGACTTCCTCATCAGAGATCGTG